CGACCGACTAGGTATCATGTTGAACAACATCTGGACCCCAGATGTCAGACGAAACCAACTGCCTGGAGTTCTGGCCGGTTTGGCGCCCGTCCGACCTCTCGTGGACGTTACCAGTGGGGTGAGAGACCTCATCGCAGTCCCCATTCGTGAATACCGAAAGGACGGAAGACTTGTTCGAAGCATCCAGAAAGGAGCATTGGCGTTTGCAAAGACGACAGCGACAGAGTTGGTCAATCTCGGAGCGAAGATGGCGATTGGCACACAGCAGATTCTTCAGAATACAGAAGATCTGCTTGTGACTCGCGAACTACAGGGAGAAACGGACGAGGACGATGAGATGCGAAAACAAATTTCTCTGTATGCCGACCAGCCAATCGGCATCAAGCAAGGATTGCGGACGGCATATGCAAGCCTGGAACGAGATCTATTGATCGCACGAGACGCTATCGTGGCAGTTCCTGGAGAGGTTATGGCCAGTTCCTCAGCCAAAGGCGCGGCAAGAGCGATACTCAAACAGAGCCCGACCATCATCCTGCGGCCGGCGATTGGAGCCACGAAAGCCGTTGGGCAGACATTGATGGGCGCAGGCAATATGCTAGACAAACAGAATCTGAGGAGGATCGATGAGGTGAGTTGTACACATCCAGTCATAGTGTCGTTTGTGGACCAATACTAACAAAGAGTCACAGAAATACAAGCGGCATTGAAAGTTGGTTTTGCTGCCCGTTTTCTCCTCGGAGTTTTGTTTGCAAACCACTCGGTTCCGCGGTGCCATACATACGAAGCTGGGCGTTGGGTAACAGATGGATTGATTGGCTGTGCGCGACTTGCAGCATTGATCATGGCGTTGGATGTTTGCATACAAAGTAGGCGAAGCGTGGAACGAGGATTTTGCTTTCCTGTGCTGAGTGTTTTCCTTGCATGGTGGTCCGCGAACGACCAGACCAAACCGAACCGAACCAAACCGGTGAATGAAACGGCGCCACGACTTGAAACGAGAAGAAACATGCCCACCCACCTGAAGATGGCGTGGGCAAAACGATATGAACATAAATTGGAACGAATGAACAGAATGTGCAAATGTCCCAAATGGTACTCGGTACAGAAACCTTGCATGGCGTAGGTGGCTTTTGGATGTCATGGTGGATTGGATTGGGAGGGGCATTTCAGATAGGTCAAGCGAAAGGGCGACTCTTGGAGTATCTAGTTCAAACAGAGCTGTAATCTGCATATCAATTGGTGCTGTGCTGTGTTATCTGTAAGTATCCTGTCTAGTTTGCCTTGTTTGTGTTTGTGAGGTGGGTAATGTACTTGTGCATGCTTGTTCTTGTAGACATGGTGGTCTAAGACAATGCCTTGGGCGGAGCAGCATGCAGAAACGGTCGGACTACTGTCTGCTACAGCAAGCATGCTCTTCTGACAACGTTCCTCTGCTCAGGCCTCATGATGACCGAATGATGAGGAAGTATGAGAACAGAGTCTGCCTCGCTTCGAGAGAAGACCGAAAGTATGGAGCTCGGACAGGGAGCAGCGTTTCATCAAACCCCGAACCGCCATCCACAGTCCTTCATCTCCATACAATGGGGGATCTTCAAAAAAAGGGGGGAGACACAACACCAAACCTAGCTCGGAACGGGGGGCGTGCGGTCTATATACTCCCCCGCCACCTCTTGTGTACGATAGTCCCTAGATGGTGTAAATGGTGTCGAAGGAATGCTCATCATTTTTACCCGTTGGCCAGTAGCCGTGGCTGGCTGCCTGTGGCGGACCACCCTTTTTGCGCCTTGTCCTTGAACCTCGTACAGGTATGTATTTTCTAGACGCACGCGACGGTTCTTCTAACAGATACCGACGTGCCGAGGAGGATGAGCTTCGGTGAGGTGATACGTGGTTTTGGACAGTTTACTGTGACGGGGGCTCGAAATTCTCCGATTGGACAAGGTTGATGGCGGAGTTAGGTCGTGGCAGTGCTCTCGCAACACTGGTCGACTAGCGGGATTGGGTGGGATTGCGCACAGCCTAGCGATTCGCCTTCTTGGTCTTAAGATCAGGGCATTATCTCCAGATGCCTCAGGCTGCCTTGTCATTGGTCGCGCCTTCGCTGGTCAGGCTGTGTAACGAGCATGTTTCGATGTGGACTTCAAGCAATGGAGTAGTCAATTTTCTGTATCATGAGCCGCTCGTCCCCTTCCCTCAGCCCCAGTCGAGATCTGCCAGGGCAGAATCTCTCTGTCCGCCAGAGATGTAAGGAGAAGGATAGAGAAAGTATAAAGGAACAAACGATGGAGGGAAAAGTAAGAGACACACAAGAGTTAAATATCGGATCAGTTTGATTCCTGAGGCGTGAATCTCACTACTGACTATTAGTTCCACGTGGCTATTCCAAACGCGTCACTGCGTCACAGTCACTGCCTCCTCACACGGGCACAAGACAAAGAATACCTGAACTCTCTACTATGGATGCCCCCATCCTTCTCTCTCACGACTCTTTTCCCAACTCTCTTCACAAGATGGACAATATTTTTCGCCGCTTCAGCTCCAGAAAGTCGTTCAAGAACAACTCCTCATCGAACATGTTTTCAAGACAGCCGCCACCACCGCCACCATCTGACCAACCGTCTCAACCATCTCAATTCACCATGGCCTGGGCTAGAAACAATCAGGATCCCAACAACCCCTTTGCTGTCACAACTCCAACGCGTCGTCCACAAGCACCACAAGCAGCCGAGCCACCTCCACCTTATTCCCCTAGTTCCTCAACCCCCAAGAGCAACAACAACAACAGCGACACCGTCGGCCCCCCCTATCCCACCAATGACCTGCACAATCCCGCGCAAGTCGAGAATGACTCGCCCTACGCCTTCCTACGCTCCTTTGACACCATCTTCCTGATCGACGACTCTGGCTCCATGGCTGGCCGCTCGTGGCGAGAGACCGCTGCTGCACTCGCTGCTATCGCGCCTATCTGTACCGCCCACGACCCGGATGGCATCGATGTCTACTTCCTGAACCATCGCAACCCGCACACCCCCGCGGGCAGTCCAGGTGGGTACACAAACATCACCACCACTGCGGCGGTGCAGAACCTCTTCCGAAATGTGCGACCGTTCGGAGGAACGCCCACGGGTACGCGCCTCAACACGATCCTAAAACCGTATCTCTCAGAACTAGCCGATTCGCTCGACCGCCAGGCCCGCCTCGCGCGTAACGGGACCACGGTGCCAGTGGTGAAACCACTCAATATCATCGTCATCACCGACGGCGTGCCTTCGGACGACGTCGAGAGCGTGATCGTTAATGCCGCTCGCAAACTCGACGCCCTGTCCGCCGAGCCTTGGCAGGTTGGCATTCAATTCTTCCAGGTCGGCCGCGAACCTGAAGCTCGGGACATGCTCCGCGAACTGGACGATGCGCTAAGCGGCGAATACCACATCCGCGACATGGTTGACACGGTACCCTGGAACGGCAAGGGCGGTGGCGAGGAGGGCCGAGAAGGTCTCACCGCGCAGGGTCTGCTAAAGGTGTGTCTAGGCAGCGTAGTCAGACGGTGGGATCGGCGGAGTATTTGACTAGGGAGTGGGGGGGGGAACAAAAAATAGAAAGGCGTTCCTGATCGATTGATGGTCAAAATCAGTCATCAAATCCCATTGTGTACTACTGTACTTGGGGAGGACCTTTGCAATCCAGATGCCGGCGTGCATGAGTTTAAACGTATTAGCTATTACCATCCTGACTACTGCATGAGGATCCAACGCACAGTTTTGGTGCCGAACCACCGATAGCATGCCAATCATAGTCATCATCACTATTACTACAGCTTCAATCCACTGTTTATTGTTGATATTGATGCTGTTTTTAGTACCGTAGCGAGGACAAGGAATTCCTCTGTCGCAGTCACCACTGTTGCATACAAGTACATGTGTTGGGTGTGGTGTGTGTCTGGGACATGCATGATTACCTAATACACGTGTCTAGATCTATATATAATATGACTATTATATGCGTGGGCTGGTATGCGGTATGTATAGCTCCAAGCCAATCGTGCTTTACCATTTCCAACCCGATTGTTCATTTTTACAATTTTCGTTCAACGAGGGGGAGTAACGGTCAAAGTGATACCTGACGAGTGGGTAGTTTTGCATCTCGCCCTGTGTTTACTTGCCGAGGTATGTAAATACGGTGCTGAGTGACTACTCGGTACAGAATGTCTACTCCCGGGGAGGGGGGAGTGAGTACATAGGTACTTAATACATGCCGTGACATGTATGCCGTACAAAATACTCCCGGGTCGGGGGGCAGGGGCGGGACAGGGCAGGACAGGGCAGGACAGGGCAAGGCAGGGCGCTTGTGCGTGGGTGGGGTGCGACAAGGCTATACATACCCAAAGTACGTAATATGTACAAGACCTCCTCTCCCAGATTTCTTTTCCCTCCCTGTCCACAAAACGCCTTTTAACATTCCCAGATCAAGCCCTGCCCCTCGTACTGCAGTAGCCCGGTAGTGCCTGGCCCGCATTGCCGCATTGCTGCATACTGTAGTACAAGTACGCAATCATGTTTGCGGTGCATGCACAGTGAGTACGGGGTAGTTTAGGTCGTATGCGGCCTTGTATGGTTAAAAGGAAGACTATGTAGAACCGTGGTAAACAATGTTATGCGTCGCGCCCCGGATAGAGGAATACAAGTACATGTGTTGACTGATGACGCCCGCTAGAAGCACTAACTAACTACCCACTTGCCCAGGTACTACTGTCCATCTCGAGCCCATGCCTAGGATCCGTTGACTGAGGAGCATCCAGACGCCCTTGATGTTGCCTCTACATTCATTCCCATTCCCGATCATGCGGCATCCGAAAGAAAAGAAAGAAAAAAAAAAAAACAATACTAAGTCGAATTTTGTCGCAGTCGTCTGGTATGACGATCTCCACCAGAACTGATTTCAACAAAGATGATGTGGAGCTTCCAGGTGTTAGTGCACAGATCATACCCTCACGACCCAGCTTAACTGAGAAAGGCCTGGATGCCGTCGCGGCGGAAAGAGACAATGTCCTCATAACCCGCTACATCGGCCTTTCCACCGACCAAGACACACTGCAGTCTTCAATCCTCCATCATCAATGCCTCTCCGCTCAGTAAGTTACCAAACTCACGTGTCCATCTCCCAGCGCTGCGCATGCCAGTAACATGCGGTGTGGATGGTACGCTGTTGCTACTATCGGAGCCTGATGCACCCTCACCGCCAGACTGCCGCCGACAACATGCGCCATCCGACTGCTGGAGGGCTCAAAAGTACCCAGTGTATCGCCATTTGTATTGAACGACTTAACTTCATGTTTGTCGGTGCCCACCGCGAAGACCGGAGCATGTTCGTGTACCGAGAGGCTGCGGAGCAGGGTCATTGGGCCTCCCGCCAGGGATGTCGTGGAGCTGGTACTTCCAATGTTACTCGTGCCATCTTTGCCATATTCGGGCTTCAATGGTGAAGGTGTCGACGATGTAGCGTTCATCGTCAATACAGCCTTGTCATTCCGCAGATCCCACAACTTCACCTCACCGTTCCTGCTCCCAGAAATGAGTTCACGGACGCCACCACGTTGCATGTGAATGTTCGTTATCCACTGTCTGTGTTCGCGCCAGAGTTTGACCATGGCAGTCCGAGGGTTGAGTCGCTGGTCAAATACGCGGATTACACCATCTCCGAAACCCGCAATGAAAATCTGCCCTGCCACCTGATCACTAGTCAGGCTGGTCACACAGCTAGAACTGCGTGCTGGAATGTCGCCAACACAAAGCTCTGTCGCGGCATTCCACACTTTGATAACCTTGACGTCCCCAGCCACGAGAGCCTTGCCTTGGCCCTGTTGCCAGTCAAAGACCAATCCGGCATTCTTGTTGCTGGGGATCAGCTCCGTCAAGGCCCTGAACGCAGTAATCACCTTGACGTCTGCTGAACTCTGATAGTTTCGATACACTTTGAGAACACCGTCGGAACTACCCACCATCAACAGGGGCTGATCGTCCTCGTTTAAGAATTTTGCATCGTTGATCCTGCTTCCAGTAGGATTTCCATTGCTGAACCGACTCAGTTGCTCATTGTTCTGGAAATCCCATATGGTGACGGTGTCCTTGTCATCGGTCACGGCAAGGTGGCTATCGAACTGATGGAACGTCAGCTTCATTGGCTGGCTCTGGTTGTTGAGAAACCCTTCGTAGCGGGTCCATTTGGAGCTTCCCGCCACGGCCTTCAATGGCTGATTGTCAGCAATGATCTTTTCGTTGCGGTTCCGCCGCCAGAGTCTTGAGTTGTAGTCCGCTGATCCCGGCTCATCTGGGTCATTGGGTCTCATCTGTGGTTCGCGGAAATATTCGGTTGACCAATCTAGCAAAGTGCTTGGGAGAGGGAAAATCGCTCGCGTTTTCGGTTCGGGAGGAACGAAGCCTGCGGAAGTAGGCAGAACGGCAGAGTGATACGATCCTGGGGTGCTTCTCGCATCGGAAGTTTCTGGTGGGCGGCTCCATTCAGGTGGGAGACGACTTCGAGGAGTATTGACTGGTTGCACAAGTTCTCTTGTTTTCGTGGGTGATGTCTGAGGACTGTTTTGATTGGAAGAGGTCGAAGGACTAGGAGAACCCGTCCCAAATGCGAGGTTGCGCAGGGAGCTGCCAGCCCTCTTCAGACTCAGGGACAAATAGCTCTGCTGTTTCGCCAATGTGGGAGGCGGAGTGCCGGGTTGTTTTTCGACTGTCCTGAGTGAATCGCGGGACGGGACTTTCTGAAGCTGGGACTCTTCCCGTTTCGAGAACCGCAGCAGGTCATCGATGACTGCCATAGCCATCTGACTCATGGGCGAGTTGATTAATGTCTCGTGCACATGGTCGACAATGCTTGAAGCATTCCGGGCAATTTCGGGGTGCGGATCGACCGACAGCATCAAGATTTGAACCCAAATCGAGCCATAAATCGTGTTTGCAGACACTGGCATCCACTTGAGAGAGTCACCAGCTTCGCCACTAGTCGACTGGGACTGCTTGTACGGGTGTCTATCCCTTTCTTCCACGAGCTGCTCGTAAGCAACCACGATAAACTTGTTCTCGTAGCGCTTCACAAAATGAGACAGGAAGACAACCAGTTCTTTCCTCACCAACGTGCTGCCATCGGTTGTCATAAAGAGGACAGAAGAGGCGATTCCTTCTTCAATCTGGGAGACCTGATCGGTCAGGTCTGGAATGCCGAGAAAGTTGGTCAGAGCATGGAGCATGGCCGCTCGAACTTCTGGGACGGGATCAAGTGACAATTCACAGAGTCTGGCATGAGCCATGCAACGAATACCCATCCATTTGGCATCGGCATACTCGCACCACAACATGCTGAGACACAAACAGGACCATTGCCGCAGCAAGGGATTTTCAGGCTCTGCCATGTTGAGCAGGCAGGCATTGAAAAGCTCGGGCAACAAGCAGACTGTCTGGCCTGGAGGATATCTCTTGCAGAACGTGGCAACTATGAAGGCACACATGGCTCGATGCTCGCTGGCATTGCCCACAGGAATGTCTGAACGAGGGTTCATGATGGAAATAAAATAGTGAATGCCGTTGTCCTTGAGCAAATCGTTCTGTACCGTGTAGTCGACCGCCATGATTCGAGCCCAGATGAAGACCATTACCGGCTTGAGCTCTAGCGAGGCTGCTTGGAGAAGCTTCACTACATAAGGGAAGATTCCAATGCTCAAAGCTAGATGAACTGCCCACGGTCCGAGGTCCAAGAATTTGCTGAGTAGAATCAGGGCACGTAGGCGATGCACTTGACTAAGAAGGACTTGCAGAACGATCGGCAACTGGTCCGGGGCTCGATCTTTGGTGGGTCCAGAGCTGAGATAGACCTCGAAGGCTGTAAGCTGCTCCGAAAAGAAGGTCGAGTGTTGGTATTCATAGACTCGTTTCCCTTCTTCGGCTTCACGGAGCATAGGGAGCTGCGCCAACACCATCTCCATGGCCAAGTCCCAACTCTGCCACAGAGGATGTCGATGTGTTTCGGGCAGCGCTGGCGACGAGATTGGATGACAATGGTTAGCCCTCATGATTCGCTCGCTCAGTAAGAAATTGCGGAACAATGCTGCGACCATAAGATCTTGACGGAAAAGCTTCTTAAACAAATGTCGTGGTAAAATGTTCCAAGCAATCGTGTCCGTTATAGCTGTAAAAATCCAGTTGAGCTCCCCAAGAGGACTCCGTCGGTCCTGCAGCCGTCCGGGCACGGGTATTTTGCCATCTTCGATCGTAGGACCATTGGGAAGTGGATTCTGTAACACAAAGTATCTCAGTGCGATATCTATCGGTGTCGTCAAGCAACACGTGAAAAGATCGGCAGGCAGTTCTGGGTTTGTGGGCAACATTTCGGTCCTCCCACAAGCCGCCAACTGGATGCAATCCCCATAGTTTTGAATAGGTGCATTGGGATCTCGTTTCTTGAGCTCCTCATTTTCCTTTTCATGCTTCGCCAGAAATGTGTCAAAGTTGTAGACAATGTTTCCGGCATGAGACACGTCGTAGACAAACAGACTTGGCCCTCCTAACCAGGCCTGCAGATCGTAAAGGCCCACAGGTATGTACTGAGTGTAGTTTTTGTTGAAGACCCAGATCTCTCCCGAGGGGGTGGGCAGCGGCACGCCGTGACCGTTGTAGTGAAAAAGAACCCTCTCGTCCTTCGCATTCCGACGCAATGAAATGCAAAAGCGTTTTGTCTCGTCAATTGAGGGATCGAGGTATTGCTTGTATCTTGTCCGCAGACTCAGCGATTCGTATTGCTCCTGCAGGCGTTTCCCAATTTGCTCCATCGTCTTGGTCGTACCACCACTACTTCCCGTTGGGTCGACCCAGGCTTCGAGCTTCGCAGTGGGGTTTGTCTTGATCACATCAGGAGGATCCACGCCGATGTTGAGACAGATGGCTAATGCAGCGGAAACGGTCTTCATACGATCTTTCATGCGCCAATCCACACTGGGGAACTGCTTGGATTCCTCCGACAACGACCCGTTGCTTTCATGCCGCTTTTCCGTGTAATACATGTAAAAGGTCGAATGTAACAACGACAGGTATTCGTTCGACGTGTACTCATCATCCCAGCCATGCCGAATGTGCGCCAGTTTATCTTCTGTGGGGATCTTTGGAAGTGTCTCTTTGCGCCGGGGCCCAAGATCGCTCTTCGTGCGCTGCAACAAGGCAATTGGTCTTGCCGTCAAGTAGTCTTCCGCTTCTTGAGGTATTATTCTTGGGGTAGAAGGCCCGTTTGGTTGGCCTCGAGCTGGGACGCTGAGCGGCGACGGCTGTTTGAAGATGGAGTTTGATGAGAAGCGGCCTCCATCCTCGAGCATGTGATGAGATGTTGATTGATCCCCCTCTTGAGTTGCAGGCCTGCGGCGGTTCACATCGAGGAGACCCAGTCCCCCGGACGCTGGGACATTGTGAGAAGCCATGGTCTCCGCAATGGGTGTAGCTAGAACAGGTCCGCGCATGGACAACGAACCATGACACTTGGAACCGTCATGTCACAGAGAGAGGCTCTCGTGGAGTCGAAGGATAGGTAGGATCAACTGGTTGATGGGCGAAAACAGCGGTGACTTGAAAGAGATATGAGCTCACGAGAGCAAATAGAATGGCCGCGTAAGGTTATCCCTCAATGTTTCGCGGCCTGCTTGGTACGGCTAGGAGTTCGCGATTGAATATGAAAAGTATCTTTGCTTGGAACACCCAAATAGTAAAGCAAGCATGGTTGTGACACGCTTGACCAAAAATCCTGCCTGCAGCAGAATGCGGGGAGGCGCACGATCGCAGCCTTGAGGAACAAGTAAATTTGGGGTCACGTGAATTTATCTCAGCCTTGCAAGACTTACCTCGTACATACACAAAGTTACACAGCCTCGTAGACTCGACCGCATAACGCGATATTGCCACGCTTGTCGATATTAGTTGCATGTAGGTATTTGACGTCCATTCATTTAACTTGAAACACATTCTGCCAGACCCCACCAACCACATCCATCACTGATCCAGTAGTCCACAATTCTGCGCTCAGCGACCTGGCAATTAAAACTACATTGAGCTCCTAACCAGTAGACAGCTCCATGAAACTTGTTTCATCACTGTCATCCGCATATTGGACTCCCAGAAGATACGACTCCAATAAGAATGTAAAAACAGAGGTCGAGGTTGTTCACACATGCCCCGGACCTTTTCGTTAATGTCACAATGAAGTTGAAGTAGGATTTCATCAAGCAACAGCCGACGTCTCTCGTGTTCCACTTTCTTCCTCTTCAAGCCTCCGCCTCCAGCTAGCGAGATTATCGCTCAGCTCTGTCCCATGACTCTCTGTTGTAGGTGTCCTTTCCGAGTCAAAGGTTGTGCTGAGCCGATAGTTGTTCCTACTCGTGCTCTCCCATTGTGATCGTAGCGTTTCCAGTTCAGAGGCCAGGTTGTCTAGAGCGATGGAACCCCGTTCGTCTCGAGACAAAGCGTCATCATTGACCGACATATCCGTCAGTGTGGAGGTGCTTTCCTCTCGGTTGTGCCCCAGTCCAGGGATCCCATGGGGCAGAGGTTGTAATTGTGACTGCCGTCGATAGTTTCCTACAGACTGACCAACTTGATCAAGGAGCATTGTCACTCGGCTTTCCGCCTCTTCCGCTTGTTTTTCAAGCATGGAGTTTTCTGACTTGAGTTGTTCTAGCTCTTTGCCCAGTCTTTGTGCGGTTTGTGTAAGCTCCTCGTAGCTGGCTTTCTGCTGGTCCCTTTCTGTCTGAACCTTTGTGAGGTCTGACTTCAACGACGTCATGTTCGACTCTAGTTGAGCAATCTGCTTGCTCGTCTGCGTCTTCATCTCCTCGATTGAAGCTTGAAGTTGCTTTCGTTCCTCTTCCCAGGTCGAGGTGTCTGGTGCTGTCCCAGAAGCCGCACTCGTGCTTCGAGCAGTTTCCAGCTCGCCAGTCAATTGGGCATTTTGGGATTTGTATTTGGTGAGCTCCTCCTTCATTTTCTTCAACATCTTCTCAGTGCCCTTGACGTAATGGACGGCAGATTGATAATCGTTTTCAAGCTGCTCCAACTTCTCCTTGTAGGTGCTGTCAGCCTCTTGCATACGAGCCTCGAATTGACTCTTAGTCTCCTCGTGGGCTTTGATGCTGGCTTGTAATTGTTGATCAAGTTCTCGGAGACGAGCTTGCTCGGGCGTGCCAAATCGAGAGCTTGGAGAATGATCGAATATGGGCGACCGTCTCACGTCAGAGACATTTATGCCGCGCTCGCCCAGCAGATCCTTGAGAGCACTGTGCTGAACAGCAAGAGCACTGGCATCACGTTGAGACATTTCAAGGTTCGATCGTAACTCACGGATCTCTGCCTGATAGTTTTGTGCATCCCGCAAAGTGGCCTGTAGTTGCCTCCGGATCTGGAGAGCCTCGCGGCTCGACTGTTCTTGATACGCTTCCAGTCCAGCAATCCGTTCTTCTGCATTACGTAGTTTCTGTGCTGCCTTATCTGCTGCTTCCTGGTTGCGCTTGGCCAAATTTGAGGCTTGTTCGGCTGATTCACGAAGAGCGGCTATTTTCTGATCGGCGACAGTGTCTTGTTTAGAGTCTGTGTCGACAGATGACAGTTTGGCTAGGCCGACAAGCAGCGCCTCACGATGAGTCGCAGCTTCTCTGGCGTGAGTTTCGGCCAACTCTTCAGCATCATGTAGGCGTTTCGAGACAGTTTCCAGTTCCGTGGTTCTATCTTCGTGTTCGGCTCGCAGTTGAGACAGTTTTTTCTCGGCAACTTCTCTTTGCACACGCTCTTCCTCAATCTGGCGCTCGTAAAGGCTCACCTTGCTCGTGGATGCTGTGACGGCAGCCTCTAGGGCAGCCATCGAAGAAGTGTGATTCGTTAGTCGCGACGATGTGTCCTCGTGCGTCTTGACCAAACTCTCATAATCGACCCGCAGAGTCCGCAACTCTTCTTCGACCTCAGCCCTGCGGCCTGCCTCTGCTCGAGCTAGACTCTGGGCTTCGTAAAGTTCTGCACGAAGTCCCTCGAGTTCTGCCGGGTTTCGATTCTTGCTCAGCTCATCATAGCGGAGCTGGAGAGCATCCACAGATTCTTCTGCCACTTCTCGAGCTTTCCGTTCGGACGCAAGGTCGTTATTCAAAGAATCAAGCTTGGCCTTCAGCTCAGACTGTGCAGCAAGGGCTAAAGCAAGGCGGCGTGTAAGGTCAGTAAAACGTTCTTGCTCATCAGGCTCTCGCGACGCATCAGGTTGTGGTGTGCTACGCTGACTACCACCATGAGCCGCGAGCTTAGCCCTTGCATACGCAGCTTCCGTGACGGCGGCATCACGCTGATGTTCCACCTCGGCGATCCGTCTAGCCATAGATGCAGCTTGTGTCTCCATGGCTTCTTGCATCTTGATGATTTCCGTTCTCATGGCCATGAAGGCTTCCATTAGTGGCCGATCGTCGTCGGTGACCTTGCTGACGGCTCGCTCGTCAAACGTGGGACTAGAGGAAGCGCCAGTGTGGTAACCTTGCTTCCGAGCCAGAGCCAACTCTGAAGCATACCAGGCGTTCGTCTTCTTTGCAGTTTCCAACTCTTTCAACAGCGCCTCTTGGTGAGGATTCATCTTGGGAGATTTGGGTTCGTCGCCTGGCATACTTCGTAAACTTCGATTATCACCTTGTACTTCCCCATGATGTCTGCCGGATGATGAACGTCCCAGGTACCCGTCCTCGGTGCTATCGATGGAACCTTGAGCCCTTTGTGACCTGAGCGACCGTTGTCTAGCAACACCGCTACTCATGAGAGGAGCCGCTTCACCTGCTTCCATAGCCTTCGCCTTTGATTCGGTCCGCTGAGTTGGAGTCCTGCGGCCGAAAGTGCTCGGACTTCCTTCCCGGCTGGGTCTAATGTTCTCTTTTTGAACGTCTCTCACTGCTTGGGGCTGCATCACACCCTCTTGAGGCACAGTTCGACCGCCATCCGGGCCGGGTGCAGTGCCTCTTGTGTCCAGCGGAGAACCATTGTACCTGGCTTTTGGTCCGTTAGGGGCGTTAGGGGCATTGGGAGGAGAATGCACACCATTCGTCCGCGGCGTTGGCGCCTGCCCCTGAGGTGGAGGTCCAGCCGGCGCCTGTGCCATAGATGCCCGCGGCAGTCGTGACTGTGAGCTACTTTGTCCAGCCGGGTCTGGTCGTTGAACCGGACCGCCTGAGAATTGCTCGCGAGTTGCATTTTGACTCCTTGCTCCTTCTCGTGATGTCGAACGGATGGGCATAGCAGATCGTGCTTCGGTACTTGGTCTTCGAGTTGGGCTGTTCGGTTGCCTCGGATCTATAGGTTGGCCACTCGCCGGTGCATCGTTTGGATAACGAATCTTTGCAGTATCCAGTACATAAACCATACTTAGCTCCGCAGGATCCCGAGGCGCGGAACTAGGCTCTCCAGCAAGGACGATGATTTTGTCGCGGTATGCTGTCATACTGTGGCCGGATCTGGGCGAGGGCGACGGGCCCATGTTTTGGAACGTGTACCATCGTTTTGACGAGATGCGGAAGGCTGCTAGATCACCAAGATCTGTGCCTTCTTCGGTCCTCCCACCAAAGATATACATCACGTCATTGACCAACGCAGCGGAGTGGCCTTCGCGGGGAGCAGGAATATATCCTATGCAGTCTTGCTGCGTCCAGACATTGGTGACGGGACTGTACGTCCAGACATCGTTGAACCACTGAGTGCCATTGGTGCCTCCAAACCTACGGACGGATTGATTAGACGAGATTCGACTGGTGGTCACGGTCCACTTACAGGAATAACTGGTCGTTGTAGCTAACAATCGTGTGATTCGTCCTTGCAGCAGGCACTTTCGCATTCGGCCCGACAACGTCGTCGCCAGTGTTTTGTATTAGAAACTCCCACTGATTTGCCGGGTTCTGTAGGGCGTTCAGGTCGAAAGCTATCAGATCATTGAAGAAATAACCCTCAACCTGACCTCCAAAGATGTATATCTTGGAGCCCAGAATATTGAGGGTATGACCATATCGGCCAGAAGGTCGTGGACCCGGAGGCGCGGCCCGAGACCATTGTCGAGAAGCTAGAGGATGGTGAGCAATGTTCACCGGCACAGAAACACAGGACCAATCCACTCACAAGTATTAAGCAGGTACAGAGTGTCGTCAAGCACATCATTATCATCCATCTTAGTATCACCGCCAAACACGATGAAAGCGTTGCCAACCAGCAGACTTGCGTGTCCGACGCGTGGGCCGGGTCCCTCCGACACTGTCGCGATGGGATAACAGGACAGACTTCCACCGCCGGACTCGACCATCCACAAGTCGCCCCGAACCATGGAACCGTTGATGAGGCCCCCCATAATATAGATATCACCATCTTTTGAGGCAATTGCGTTCACAGCCGCGCCATAGCGAGGGAAAGGATTAGATTGCGC